CTGATGTTTTTATATCCATGTCAGTGTCTATTAATTTTAAAGACTCTTATCTCAGGACAAGAGCAATCACCCAATACATATGCTAATTTGGCTGGAAGCAATACTACCAACCCCCATAAGGTACAGACATAGTCTCAAACATCTGATTTTGTATCTACCTATATTTGGGATTGACCTTTTAAGAGCTTCCCCTTTGACTCACAATCAGAATCTCTGCTATCAGTTAAGACAAACTTCCTGAATGAATACTCAATGTTAGTCAAAAGACAAATTTGTAAACAAATCACACACATATATAATAGATGCTTACTAATATAATAATTAAATTCCTGATTATCTGAATAGAAAGGAACAATAATTTTAATCTGAGGTTCTCAATCCTGGTGGCACAGTATCATATGGGAAGCTTTTTAAAAATACCAGATACCCCCAACCCCACCTTAGACCAGTTAAGTCAGAATCTCTTCCAGAAGGGCCTGGGCATAAATTTTGTAGCTCCTAAGGGGATTCTAATGTGCAGCCAGGGTTGAGAACAACTGGTTTAAGACAATATAACTAACTTATGATGCATCTCAAAGCCAAGTACTTTTTAAAACTACTTTCACAACACTGCTTCCTCTTTTTTAATCAATTGTTCAGTGTCAATAAAAATAATGTGAGAGTATTTTTACAATATTCTAGTTTGACAGTCTATATGGCATTAACAATGTACACTCAGTATTTTAAAACTGTTTAAAGAATTAAAAACATTACTTTAAAGCGCTAATAAAGTTATCAGTTATGCAACTAATGTAATATAAACACTAGATATTTTATCTATGTCCATGAAGGTAAGTAAGGGGGTAGAAGAGAAATACTTTTTCCTTAAAATTGGTTATCTACCAAATTCCAGGACTTTCCATTTGTTATGTTTTATTCTTAATAAATAACTGAAATAACCTCTCCATCAAAAATTTTACCAAACATCTATTGAAACTATTATGGTTAATACAAAAAAAAGTTTACATTTTAACTTGTTATCTTTGACGTTAAAGGCCAAGTTCCATTTAAAGATTCTTTATTTTCTTCTGTGGAGGAAAACACAAGAAACTCTGGTTGCCTGTGGGAATGGCTGGGAACAGGGGTAGGAAGGACACTTATGCTTTCTTTTGTTCAGGTTTATTAAATTCTTTGGTTGAGGACTATCAACCAATTTTCTTACTTCTTGACTATCATTATCTGTCTAATTCAGAATTAATCATTGTCACAGAAAACTAATAGACTATCTTTCACACAACCAGAAAAGATATCCTGAAGATTAAAAAAAATTTTCTCTACCAGAATACTGTACACCAGTGACTTTGAGAAGGAAATGTAAATAAAAAAATAACAAAACTGTAATTCAGTGTTGTAACTGCTTAGTAAGATGGACCAAACAATTACTGATTTAAAAGAAACCCATTGCTATGTAAAATTTGTAGTTAATGTGGTTGCTATGTGCTCTGTGGCCCAAGTAAGAATTGCAGTGTCATCTATTTTCAGATGTTCTATAGAAAGTCCTCAATTTATCAGGGAGACAACAGGAGGAAGAAACAAAAGAAACCTATCAGGTAAAAAGTTATTCAGAAGATATTAGCAGTTGAGGCACATGAGAATGCAGGAACTGGGTTATATAGGAGGCTATAAATCCCAGTCTGTAAAAATATAAGCTTTAAACAAAAAATTTACACAAAACTAGGTTAAAAAGAAATAGTCAGGATACTTAAAAGCCACCTTACTTTGAAGAACTATCATACTATCAGTTTAGGTAAAACATGACCAATATGGTTATTTATATTAAGTTTAAAAAAAAAGCATCATATTCCTTTATTACAGAAAGATACTCTCATACATGACTTGTGAGAATGCAAAATGCTTCAGCTGTCATCCAGGGGAATCTGGTAGCATTTAGGAAAACTACCTAATTTCACTTCTAGACTTCCCAAAGATAAAGTGTCTAAAATATGAAATGACACATGTAAAAGGCTGTTTGTTGGTTCATCTTTGCATTATTCAGAACAGCACATAACTGAAAACAATCCAGATACGCACCAAAAGGAAAGTGGCTGAATAAATTACAGTACATCCATAAAATGCAATCATGCTGTGGTACAAAGCAAGGAGGAAGATGGCTATACTATATTTGGATATAGAGTGGTATCTAGGGTATATGTTTAGAGTAAAAACACAAAGACAGAAGCCTGTCTTTAATATAAGGAGGGGAGCATAAGTAAATATATAAATCTATGCATTTAAAAAAATGCATTAAAAATATAAAAAAAGAAAAAAGACCACCTATGGATAGAAGGAAGACAGAAGCCAGATTTCTGACTCTTATCTTATTTTGCGTAAATAAAACCACACGTATATCTTCAACAATTTAAAAATAAATATGAAACAAAAAGAAAAAATTCTTTCATGTGACTTTTTAAGCACAGTATTTTGATTTTATATCCTGAAGAAAAACTGCCCCCCAAAATCTGAAACTGCAATTAGTAGCTTTATTGATAGTAGTAATACTGTATTATTTAGGGACATATATACACAGAGAAAACTACATAAGTAACAATATTATTTTAAGAACCAAGACAGCATAAGAGAAGAGGTACAAGTGTAACACCTTAAGTTAGATAGCCTGCATTCATACATTTGAGGAATTCATGACATTTTTCTCTTTCTGAAAAATACGTACTCTTAGCTCTATCTCCTGGAAAAACCTAGAACAATGACAACATGGTAGGAATGAACACCCTAGCATCCAGACTGTAGGCATTCTCCAAATAATATTTTCTATTAAAAGAATTAGGGTTTCTTGGAAAAATGGCTGATTTGATAAGGGGCAGAAAATAAACATGAGTCTAGGATATCTTACCAGAAAATAAGAAAGTATCAAAGACAAATGGGGTCAATAAAAGGATAGAGGAACCAACAGAATAATTCCCAGTGGCTAAAGATGGCACAATTTGAATGCAAAAAGAGTAATGATTGCAGTTGATCATAAATCAAATATAAAAAAAAATGCTAGTAAAAAGATTTTACTGATCATCTTTCAAAGTGACTAGGACACTTTAATTTGGAAACTGGCAAATAAAAGGCAAAAAGGAAGAATTTATCCTGGCTCTCCTATATGAATTTTATTTCAAGATAACTAAGCAATTCACGAAGGAAAGTTCTTTATAAAAGAATTCCAGTTATAGATGTAAAGGAATGAGAAAAACCACCATTTTATAATTTCAAATGAAATAATGGATCTAGGCAATAATCATGGGGGTGGAGGATAAAGAATGCGTGTTTAGTAGGCACGGGGTCCTAGGTTCTATCCCCAGTACCTCCATTAAAATAAATAAATAAACCTAATTACCGCCCCCCCCACGAAATTAAAAAAAAATTGTTGTCATAACGATTAAATAAAAGGGTGATGTGTAACTTTATAATGGAAGAATCAGGCTTTCAACATCTGAACCGATTACTAATTAATCTTCCCATCATCAAAGACATCATACGCCTCTAAAATGATGCAATGTGACAGCCACAACACCATTTATGAAATATTCTTGTCTTGTCAAAGTAACTGAACCCAAATCTAAACAACCCTCTAGATCTGTGCTGTGCAAAGTCGTAGCTACTAGCCACATGTGGCTATTAAAATTAAAATTAAATTAAAATCTTAGTGTTTCAGCCACACAAGTCACATTCCAAATATTCAATAGCCATGTGTGGCTGGCCAGTGGTTACTATAATGAACAGCAGATAAAAAACAGTTCTGTCATCACAGAAAGATCTATTGCACAGCCCCATTATAGGTCTAACTTCCAGTTTATAGGAAATGTAGGGTACAGAAGGGCAAATTAAATGACATTAAGAAGCAATCTGCTAAGTCCAGAATGTGAGAAATTCTATAGAGAACTAACCTGGTTTACCAAATAAATGGAGGGAGGGGAAATAGTTACAGACTTAAAAAGACAAAACAAAAACACCAAATGATATGTAAAGCTTGTTTGAAACCTGCTTTAATAATTCAATCATAAAAGAGACATTTCTGAAATTGGAGGAATTTGAACATAGATATGAAAGAATTATTATACACATATGCATAATGCCACTATCACACCTAATAAAATCATTAATGCTTCATATCTAATATATATGTAAATAAAAAGCTCCTATCTTTTAGAGATATATACTGAAATAATGACATTTTAATGTGTGAAACAATATGTCAGAGATTTAACATACTCCAGCAACAAACAAAAAAACCAAAGGAATTTAAAAAGTTGGAGGGTGCAGGTGAAGATGAAACCAAACTGGTAAAATGTTGAACTGTTGAGGTTCTGTGACTGAGGGTCATTAAACTCTTCCCACTATTTTTCTGTATGATTTAAATTTTGTATAATAAGGCCATTGTCTAATCCTGCCTGTCATCTAAATCTAATTTCCTTTGACTATCCTTTAGATTCCAAGTCAAAAAGTTACCCCTTAAACCATCTTAAATACCATCCTCCCTCTCTCTTTTTTAACCTATTATTTGTCGAGTCAATACATTCTTGCTAGCACTGTATCATCCTGCCTTCATAAACTAGACCCAAATTCTCCATGCTTGTCTATTTCAGTGTCCTTCACTGGACTTTCCTTGTTCCTCTTGCTGTTATTTCTTTATTCTTCAGCATGCCCCTGCAGCTCCTCCCTAACAGTACTAGACAAAATGACAACAAAGTACGTTATTCCAATCTTTTGTTCAGTATTAAACAAAATCTTTTCACTCAAAGCTCTATACATTCTCCATATAGTCATGAAGCTCATTTCTAACACAGTTCTGAAATTCAGCTTAACTACATCAATCCAAGAGAGAGACATGGCTTAAGAAATCAAGAACATTTCCACTGAGGATGTGTGACTTTAAAATGACAGAGAGAAGATGGAAAAGATAAACAGCCAACTAGACAAATCTAGCTAGACAGAAAAGGATAAAGAAAACAACCTTAGGGACAGCTGACTTGTAAAGTGTCATCAGCCAAATTAATGCTATATTAGTCAATAATCTGTTCTCTATAAACTGAGCTTATTTATTCCTGTGCTTATTTTTTTCTTAGTTGCTTACATTTCCCTTTTGGAAAACTGAATCTTGCCTCATCCACAATAACAAAGGTAAAATTTCATCTAGAATAAGGAAAGAAAAATTTGGTCTTAGGACCAGACTAGCTTTGGAGTTGAGGGGAAAGCCACAGAATTTAAGATAAGTGAAAAGTAAAAGCAAAATCAAAAATCTAGAGATAAAGACACAATGTAAAACACTTCCCCTGCTTTTTAAAAAATTGTATCAGAATTGCTTCAGCATTTCCACTTTTTAAATATTTCTCTTAAAAAGCAGTATGACTGGCTCTGAACCATGCTTAGCACAGAATCAAACACAAACGAGGCATTTATTAAACATTTGCTTTTGCAGTAAGCACAGGCTACAGCACTGACAAAACACACAAAGTTTAGATTTCTAGTGCCATTTAATGAACAATGGAATGAACACTTTTGAGTGTACTGGAATTTGAGTATCAACCATTAACCAAAGGCAAAGACACAGGCAAATTAGTGTTGTCAAGAGATTACTTATACCCAAATACAGCAACCACAAGGCTAAAGATACCTGATTGTGCTCAACTCTTCTTTGCTTGAGTGTTACCGGAGTCTTTGCTCTGCCCTTTAGTGGTTCTCTCTTCTCAAGCTTGAGCTCTATTTTAGAGTCTAGAAACAATACCGGAGAAATCATTACTCTTTGTAGTACGCAGTAAACCATAATGTAATCCCAACATTACTCTGGAACCCTGGTTTCTAGGCACAGTAATATGTAAGATAAGTCTGTCTACTAGTTTTACCTCAAGAGATCAGAACTAGTTAACTGCAATTTCTGTCTTTAAAAACTTTTCCTTCTGCATTCTTATTTTACTCAATTTTGTTTATCTCCCCCGCTCCTTAATCTGATCACTATTTTTTCATATTTCTTCTCCTTTTTTTCTGAGACTAATAGTCTGAAATACAGGGTGAATTCAAACTGCTCCCACAGTTTAGATGTTACATGTGGGAAAAGAACATTAAAATACACAGTTGTTACCATTCTTTTGTCCACACAGTGCATTATTACTATATAAACAAAGGTTAGTTATTAAAATTTAGAATATGGAAGGGAAAAAGCTATTTTAAGAGTGAAAAACCACCTTATGGTATCAAGCTTCTAATAATAAATAAGTGCAATGACAATATACACAAGTACAGCTTTAGTCTCTCCACTTTTTTTGGTGATCATAAAAACCCTGGGTACAACTGAAGAGGTAAGGAGGAAACTTGTTCACAGAAAAGTACAACCAATCGCACATCACTTCTCCTTTTCCCAATAAGGTAGTATTTCTCTGAACAGAAGCCTGTGCATATATATTACTTAGCATGTAACCATGATGGCTATTACCATGACTCAAATACACACACACATATACATAATATAATATATATATATATATATGTGTGTGTGTATCTTTTTGTAGGCTTCAATATCCCATTCTCCTAGTCTTGATTTTATCACCATTTGAAGGGCTAGATTTTTCAAGAGACTAATAAAACTTTTAGCTTCCACATTTTTGTGAAAGCCATTTATCATAGTACAGCAAAATTAATGTCAGTTGTCACTTCTAAAACTTCTCCATTATCAAAAAGTTCAGTTAGATTACTTTCTTACCAGGGACAGAAATGGAGTTAATTCTTAAACAGAACCTTAGTTTTGCATGAATTCAATACAGTCATGCTAAAAAGTAGTCAGGACAGCTATGTCTTGCTAACAGTTTAGTCTAGTACTAGTCTCTCTAGTATACTTGCGAGGTTCCCAAAGATGAATAGTGATTTTTACCATGTTAGTTCAAATAGTTCAATCTTTAAGATTAAGGCATCAACTCCACCCTCAACTTCCCAATACTTCTTTGAATGGGTCTATTAATATATCTGTGGGACAATCCTTAAGCATTATAAAACCTTATGTCTGTTAACTCAGAATCTAATAATTAGAAAGCACAAAGTAAAGAACCCAAAAATAGTTGGGCAGAAATTGATTAAACAAATAAGCATCTGGTTACAGACTAATTCCTCTTACAAATTCTAGTAGCCAATAAACACATGGTCCTCAAATAGAAGAAAAGTCACATAATACTTTGAATATTTTCAACTATACCACTGGAATGTTAAGTGTGTTTCTAAGATGAAATGGAAAAGGGATATTCATCCACAAATACCTAACTGTTACAACTCCAAGAATAAAACACACACACAACATGTTTGTGGAGACCACACAAAACTGTTCAAATTTAACAACTTTATTGAAATTGCAGAAGCAGTCTACAGTAATACATTAAAAAAAAATCACATAGCACTTAGGTACATGTATACATGTACATTTCAGAAGACAAATAACAAATAAAATTACTCCCAGAAAGCTGCAAAGATGGACACGTAGAGTCTAAGAATATAGTAATGACTAGAAGTACCCAAGGGACTATATTTTGCTTATACTTAATATTACTGTTTTCCATAAAAATACAAAGAAATTCAATTATCAAATGCCTCTCTAGTTAAGACTCTCATCTTACAATCATAGAAAATGAAAACAGAGAATGATATATTGCTTTATAGAGACACAAAGAAACTAGGACATAGTATGATTTCTTATGACTTAAAAAAGTAAATTTGCTTTCAGAATTTTAGATTGTCTAATCATCCAAGAATTACAACATACGTTAAAAGTGCTATTAAAAAAAAAAGTCCCATCTTTTCCCAGTATCTAGTTTATCTGACAAACTACAGTGATGGTGAGAATGAACCATCCCAGAACACTTGGTCTACAGCAGTGTTTCTCAGTGTGGTCCATGAACTGTTCACTACCAGTCCATGAAGAAACAAGGCGTTTGCACCAGAATATAAACTAGCACCCTATTTTCCTCTATCAATAAAATTTTACCACAAAAATAAACCCTGTCATTGATTGATCTAAAAAAGAATCTCTAGATTATAATTCTAGTGTATTGCTTATCTTGTCTGTGGATCAGTAATATTACAGACTGGCACTCTGAGTTGCACTGATTGTGAATATTATGAATGATACTATAAACTAAGTAAAAAACACAAGTGACAATATAAGAGAAAATATGTAGGCATGTTCTGGAAAGTAAAAAGTTATTCAGTAAAAGTTATTTAAAACTGTGACGATTCTACTTATAATCTAGTTAATGGAATTTTCTTAGTTTTGAAGAATTGTAAAATCTTAAAATAGGAAAGACAACTATTTGAGGGAAAAAATGGTCAAGAAAAGCTTTAAGTTGTTCGTTATCAGGCTTTCTGTCTGTGCAACTTTAAAAAAAGGCAGTTATATGGAGGCAATTTATACTGCAAGTTAACAGGCAGAAGCTTGATACTTTGATACCAGCCTATTCTGGAAACTAAAAAGACCTTAAGCTGCCAAGTTCCCCATATCAAAGATAAGATAGATGTCTTTATTGTTAACTTTATTAGTGTTTATTTCCACGCTTTTTAATTATTTTCAATGCTTCTCTTCCAAGTAACATTCCACCTTTAAATGGAACAACAGCCAGCTTATTCTTAGAAGCTGGATTAATTTTGCAATCCTTTAGCCAGAGATACCGGCGACCTAAAGTAGAAGATCCCATAGTATGTGCAGCCATCTTTACTTCATCAAAGGCAGCTTCACAAAGAAATGAGGCTGCATCATATGTTTTGCTCAGCATCCCAAGTGCCTGGTGCGTTCGACTAGGTTCTGAGCTAAGAATTTGCGCAGCCTGGCTAATGTCTGCCTGCATAGCCCGAACTACAAAGGCAGTATGGGTTGCAACCTGCAATGCTGATGCTGCAGCTTCATATGTTCTACAAAGTGCTAAGTCCAACTGTTTATCACAGGACTCGTTGGAAACTGCCTGAATACCTGTTGGTGGAGAGGTATCAGTAATAAGCCCCAGGATTTCATCATCTACTTTTGGAACTGATAATATCCTTGTTGCCTCTCTGGAAGAAATTGGATACTTGCATGCCAATGAAGGCAGCTGCTTGTCGATTTGCTGCCACTCCTCTTCAATCACTTTTAAAATAGATTCATGGAAGGGAAAAGACAGTTCGGGAGCATCTATTTTATCATGCTGAGATTGCATAGACATTTCTATGCCTAAGGTAGTGAGTGAATGAGAGACAACAGTTTTTGCGAAAGAAGACATCACTTCAGATCCAGGCATATTTTGAAATGCCACATAGGAACCTGAATCCTTTCCCTCTACTGACTTTTCACTGATTCTAGGTAATTTTCGTGGAGGAGACAGGGATTCAGTTTCTCGAAAATCAGACTGATCAATTCTCTTCCGTGTATTTTCTACATCCAGCAGGGGTGTAGAGTTAGAAGTCCCAGGCAAACTACCTACTCCACCCTGGGCCAACAGAGAATTGATATAATCTCTGATTGCCTGAGCAAGCGGTGGAGAAATTATGTGTGATCTCTCAGACTCTTCTAGTGCTTTCCTTTCACTGGAGAGAATCGACTGACCTGAAACATGGGGCCTCTCAGTACTTAATGGTTGAATTCCACTTTTCTCTCCACAGTAAATATTTTCTACTATGTCTTTATAGCAAGCACTGGTGGTTTCTTTAATCAGTGAAGGAGAAGCTGCAGCAGAGACCAACATGGCAGCGAGTTCATGCTGAGAAGATGTCGAAGAACTTTTCTCTAAACATCTATTATGGCTAGACTTGGAGGAAATAAACAAATTCCCTCCAGAGGCTAATTTCTGCAACTGTTCCCTGCCAGGCAAGGTTGTGGCAATAAGAGGTTCCCTAGGTGGGTCTCCCTTAGAAGTATGTACTTTCTTAGCTGCCTGTTGTTCAGTCCTGCCCAAAGGAGGACGGGTGGAGATTTCAGGAAAAGAAATATCCTGAAAAAATCCACCAGAGGGAGTAGTTGGAAGTTCAGAAAAAGGAACAAAATCCCTAGTGGACTTCACTTTCTTGTGTTCTTTCTTCTTTCCTGTAGAGGCAAAAGAGGCAGGAAGTTTAAGCATTACTTGTGTTTAAGCTGACTTTATTCTTTGCCTCTTTGCTAACATAGTGCTGTCGAAGGAAAAGACTATATTTCATACTCTGAACAACCAATTTGACAGACTGTGCCCTGGCAGGCAGTGCTCATGGAGATATAAGCAATTTGAGTCATTAAATAGTCATGAAATTAACAAAGAAGTCATAGGAATTAAAAGTTTATAAGCACCAAGTTGTTCTTATAAATAATAAATTTTAAAAGGTCATTAATTTCATGTACTAGTCTCAAAAATATTTATATACCATGGCCAAATTTTCTTAAAATAGTCTAAAAATGTCAAAATATTTGCTAGAAAGCTGTCTTGAAATCACATCATCTAGCAAAAACTATAAAATTAAATTTAAATGCTTACCAAGAGAAAACAGAGAAAACATGTCATATGTAAATACTATTATATATAATTATGATAAATAAATCAGACATATGTAATAAGAGATCTTAATATTACAGAATAAAGAAAGCAAATTTAGCATGAAATCACTTACACAGATTTTTTAAAGTACAATACAATACAATGTATTAGGCAGATGCATATGAAAAAGTATTTAAAAACAGGCTGGATAGCTAAGCATCAAAATAATGGTACTGTTTGCTTCTGTGGAGATGATACTTGGAAAGAGGTAAGTGGGGAAACTTTGTCTCTATTTGTAATACTTTATTCTCTTAGAAAAATGAGATTTGCAGTAAAAAAGATAAAGATAACCTGGCAATTTAGGTAACAAAAAAATTTGACATTTGTTTCTTAGAATTCTCAACAGAAGGTATTTAAATCAAATTACTTAGAGGACTACTTTAATGATGTGAACAAAATTTACATATATCTTGGTAATATTGAAAATTTTATCTTCATGGTTATTGTATCTTATGAGTCTGAAAAATTTTGATTTTTGACTATATGCTTTATTAATAACATCATTAAAATTTTACCTTCTTCATTGTCACTGTATCTGTCAGAGTCATTACTTCCATTCTGTCTTGTATTTTCCACTGAAGAAGAAATTGTTGGCAAAGGAGTGGAAGATCTAGATTCTGTTCCTTGTTCCCTCAATTTCAACAGCTTTTTCTCATATAGCTTCCTGGTTGTTCCTGTATTAAGGCAGAACTTGCTTAGTACTTGTGTTATTTAAGATCCAGCTCAGACATTATCTTTAAAAACATTAAAATGTTACTTTTCACTGTTTCCTTTTCTAAAATCAAGTGCTTAAAAATACTATATAATGGATTCTTTTCTAAAACATGTGTTTTTTTTTCTGGGACTTTAATTTAATACATAATTATAACAGGTTTTTTTTTAGTAACATGGAATACATAGGTCTTATTATACATCACACACTGAAGAGCAATGTATGACTATTTTTGACTGGAAAGCTTTTAACTTTGTATAATTTCTTAGTAATATATAATAGTACTTGCCTTTATAGAAAAATCATTTTTATAAACAGATTGTACTCCTATGAATGACTATGATTAAAACCCTATAACTCTAAGATATTAATATGCCTATAAAAGGCAATTCAATTATAGGAAAATTCCTATAAATCACATTTTTTAAAAGTAGAGAAAAAAGTATACAAAATGAATTTGACACATAACACTGTGTAAATTTAAGATATTAAGTCATATTTAAATATATGTTGCAGTAAAAAAAACCTTTTATGAAAATGTTACAAACAGAAATTATATTTCAATTAGATAACAAAGTAAAATTGATTATAAATAATTTACTAATACATTTCAACATCAATGACAATTTAAAAACAAAAATAGCTTTTACATTCTGTTTTAACACTAGGTGTATATCTTTCCCTGATTTCCATAAGATGAACAAAGCAATGAATATATTTTTAAGAAACAACACATATTTCAGAATGTTATATATAAGTAGTCTTAAGATGAACAGCTGGGGAGGGGGAACAAGGAGACACTGTTCAATGGGTACAAAATTTCAGTTATACAAGATGAATGAGTTCTAGAAATCTAACGTACAGCTTGGGCTATAGTTAACAGTACTGTATTATAGCCTTGAAATTTGCTAAGAAGGTAGATCTTCAGTGCTTTCACCACATAGACACACATAAAACTATGTGAGGTGATGTGTATATTAATTAGCTTGATAATGTAGATCATTTCATAATACGTATGTATAATAAAACAGCAAGTTGTATACCTTAAAGGTACAACTTTTGTCAATTATACCTCAATAAAGCTGGAGGGAAAAATAAACTGGTATACCAACATGTAAGTTAATGGATGATGATACACAATACAGTGTCAGCATCTCCCTTTTGTGTCTTTAATGAAAAATGTAAAAAGGGAATCAAATGCTGGTTGGTAACTATATTAACAGGCTTATTATCATCTATTTGGAAGCAGTACATTAAATAAAACAAAATTCTAAACTCTTATTTGGGTAAAAACAAACCCCCAAATCTCCAGTGTTCAAAATTTTATATAACCTAGAAGATCAAATAGAACTTTCTCAACTTCCAAGTTGAGAGAGTTGAGGTTACTGCCAAGACACTCCAAAATTAATGCACAATCAGCCTTGAAACTCACCAACTAACAGTAACCAAATGATGGAAATCCAAGGTATTTAGTTCCAAGTTTCCTCTTTTCAGTTTGTTTTTTACCATTATCATTCTTAAATTCCAATCAAGACAAGACTTTTTATAAGTTAATGACAACTGAAAGTGGGTGGAGGCTATGCTGGGAACTGAATAACTTGAGGTATATTAACAAGTCTGTCACTAACTTACTGATTTGGATTAATTTGGCCAGCTATGTTACCTCAGATGGTCCTCAATCATCATATAAAATCTGTATATATCTCACCAAGCAGTGTGATGTGAGCACACTACAAAACAATCTCAACAAAGGTAATCCTGAAGATCACCTAGTTCAATTCTCTCATTTTCCTCATTTATAGTTAGGGGAACTAAGATCCTGGTCATATAAATGATTAATAACAGACTGGCCCTTAGAAGCCAAACTCTACCTGCTAGACAAGAGGGAACACAGTTTGGGGTACTGCTTCCTAAAAACATTTACGAAATTTTATCAACTTACCTACAATAGGACCAGGATTCACTCCATATTTCACAAGCTGATCCAGAAGCTCTTCATTAGTGAGCTCTGTTACATCTAGATCATCTTTATCTTCTTGTCTGGGTTTATCAGTTTTCTTTGTGGCTTTCTGTAAACAAAGTCCAGTTATCATTTCCCACATGAATTTAAAAATGCTCACTTATGATGCAGATAACACTGCATATAATAAACATGCAAATTCATCTTCAAGTTGACTTATATTAGGGCTTAGCAATTTAATTAAGAACAACTCATTATTTGAGGACATTTTCGTGAGTTCAATTATAATTATACAAACCTAATAGCCCAAACTCAAATTTTAGATATTACTATTAAAAGAGGCAATTTTGGTTAACCTATCTAAAGAGGTGATAGCATTAAAAATTCAAAAGAGCAAATGTCTGGGTCTAAATATTTTCATCTAGACCACTGTAAATACAATTTAGTACTGGCTTTTCACCGATCCTTGAAAGTTTAAATTAGTCCAGGAAAGTTTCACACTTTACCATAAAGGTTTATACATGTTATGAATAAAAATGATTTTCTTTAAACAAGCATATAAGAACTTAAGAAGCCCAAAAGAATATTCTTGTAACACCGTGACTTTAGTAGCCAGTTTTTGACCCATGAAGAAAGTCAGACTTTATGGCTATATATCACTGCTGACACAACTTTGTCTATATGACAATTTCACTAAGACTACTTGAAAGAACATGGAACAAACTGAGAGAAATTTCACAGGCAGTTTTTAAAATAATTTAAGTAATGGCATTATTTACTGGAAAAACTATATAAACTTCCAAAGTTTAACAGCTAAAGTATGGTTACCTTTTAGGGTTGTGGCAAAAAGCTTTACAAATGCCTCAGTAATCCCAGAAAGCATCATAGTACTGAATATAAATGGCTGTTTAAATAATGGCCACAAACATCAAAGTCAATGTAGGCCCAAACTGCTGTTTAAAGCAGAAGAGTCAATACTGCATCCTAGAAATATTTTATGCTAAATGGTGAAAACCAGAGTTTGTATGGTCTGCTTACTTTCCAATGATGCTGAGAGGGGGGAAAAATCAGGCATTATTTGCTCATGTACTAGAATTTGTTTTTCAACCAAATAAAAATGTGAAATACTTCATATAAAGAACATAATAAGAACAATGATGTCAATTCAAGAGAAATCTTTTAATATAATTTTTTAAATGTCTGTGTTACTGAGGGTACTTTCAGAAGGCTTTAATATTGCACTAATCTAGGATCATCAGGCTCAAATCTTAAGTAACCCATACCTTGATGTCAAAATAGATGCCTACAGTCTAAGAGTTCTAGATTCTTGAATTCTTTAGAGAAGACGTTTTAAAATCAAACAGACCTAAAATTGTGACCTACTTGAATTTTCCAAAAACCGTGGGCAGATTGGGAAGAAAAACTCCATTGTATAACATAAATACTTGAAATAAAAGAAAATGAGTCAGGTACAGATTACCTGTAGGAAAAAAACCCCAAAACCCTCTCATCATAAGAATGTTCAAATTCTACTATCAACCAAATATCCAGGAATTTCAACTTCTTGAAACAGCCTGAGGTTTTCAAGAAATCTCTGTCTCTGACTCTTACCACATTGTTTACTTTTTATTAGTTATTTGTATATATGCTCTACTTTCTCCAGATGGTAAACTCCTTGAGCAAAATAGTCCCTAAGTCTAGTTTGTTATCAAAACCTCAAAAAACTTTTGGAAAAGCTACTTCTATTTCCAAGTCTTACCCCACTCTGAGCCCTAATCTTTGGCCTGAGAATCTGTATTTTACTGTGTAGCTCAGGTGATTTTGGATGTGGCATTTAAGAAGATAACAGAAAGTAAGAGCACCATCATATTGTATCTCAAGTCTCTTAAAAGAAAAAAAGCCTGACACCTGATAGATGTTTTGTTGAAGGAATGAATCAAAGGGCCATCTGGTGAGGAGAAAATAAACCAATTATTTTAAAAAGTTAATTTCTTATTAAGAAATAACAAAGACTTAAATTGTGAAACAGGTAGTATGGTATATACAATGATCAAGACAACAGTTTCAACCAGGAAGAAGAAACCATTAGTTGTACTGATTTTTGCCTCCAGAGAGCTTTTTTGTTCCTTTAAGTAAATCATGTAATCTCTTACTAGTTTCATTCTGTCAAAAATACCGAGTACGAACTGTGTGCCAGGCACTGTTCTCCAGTTTCTTCCCAACTATTAGATGACCTCTAATGTCTTTTTCAACTTTAAAATCCAAACGTTCTAAGATATCACCCATGAGCCACTCTTATTTAAATCTCTACCATTAGCAGCAAAGATATTGACATATAACAATTATTAAAAGATTCTACTGAAAATTTATGTACCAAGTTGTATTCTAAGTGCCTTATATGTATTAACTTATTAAATCCTAAAAATGCTGTGAGAAAGATACTAATACTACCATTTTATAAGAGAGGAAATTGAAGTTCAAAGTTGTTTAGCTAACTCAGGCAATATGCATACTAAGTTATATGTTAACATTTGAGACTATGTATATATCATTTTCACTAATTTACCTCATCTAATTTTGAACACATTATGGTAACACTTTATTGCTCTGGCATTAAATAAAGACAACAAAATTCAGTAATCACATGTTGTAAATAGTAGCATGTGCTGTAATTGCTGAGCTCTAGACACCTTCACAAATGCAACCTCGTGTAATCCCCAATCTTGAGTAGCTATTGGATTATTCCTGTTTCAGATTAAAATTGAGCATCTGAGGCAATGTTCATTGTTCAAGATCATCTAAATAAAGGCAGACCTGGAATTTGAACAATTTTGATTCAGAAGTTTGTAAACTTAACATCTTACTGTAGAGTATGGTGGTCAATTTATGTTTTACTCTTTACCGTTCTGTTCCATGTCATTAAATATTTCCTGTTAAGAACTCATAATTCACCAGATCAGACCATTCAAGTATGTTATTCTCCACTGGGTTCCAAATAGCTACATTGCTTTGCACCTTGGAACTAAAAGGCAAATCACCAACTCTGTAAATGTTTATTTTTTGTCTATAATCTTGATAGTTTCAACGCAAAAAACACCAGTATCATCAAGATGCATAAAATAAGCTTAGAAATAAGAAAACTAAAAACTAAAACCAAAACTGAACACGCACATATTTTTGTCCTATCACACCAAGTGAATCTGTTCATGACAATGGCTAAAATGAAACAATTTCTCCTTTAAATAAAAATATTCCTTATAAACCCATGTTTAAATAGAAGGTATATGCCATGTCCTTGGCCAAATCCATATTAATGTTTGATTTCTTTTAAAATGTTAAAACATCACCATTTTTAAAAACCTGCTTTATCTGAAACTCTCAAACATAATTTGACTTTCTCCTAGATTATAAATACTCTTTAAGAAATGTGACTCTATATTATAATTACACATGGGGCTAACAATAGAACATAAAATACTGTATATATAAAAGGAATGTGCCATGAAGAATAATTTCATATATTCCAATTATTATAAATGGCCTAAAGGTTATTTTCCTGTAAATCAATATTTTTTCCCTATGCTTGATAAAAAATGTATTCAACTCCTTAAATTATAAACTGACTTTTTACCTAATGTGCTTTCAAGCAGAAAATGTTATTGACCATCTATGTTTTTTCAAGTTTTGGACACCACTGCGCTTAGCCCAGGGCACACATTTTTGAGTTTTAAAAACTCAAGGTAGAGAAAACTTAAAGCTAGGGCTATGAAATGGTTCTCTATATGAACTGAAACATTAAATGAGATATACAAAGGATTCAGCATGCTACTGGACAGAGTAAGTTCTCTTAAAACGTTAATTCCTTCCACACCGAGCTTGTTTGCATGGTGCTAATTTGGGTAACGTCAGAAATTTATTGAGATAATCCTAGAATTTAACTATGGTGGTTGGCAGGTCTGCGGAAACCAAACTCCTGTAGTTAAGAGAACATAGTAGGAATTCAAACACATTAGATAATTGAACTGAAATTAAAAATCTTAACATTCAGGTCTTCATACACCCCAAACACAAGGTAGATTGGGACATACGCTCTTAGAAAAAGTTGAAGGAAAAACATCTAAATCGAGACGGTTGTTACTGCTGACAAAGAATCATCAAAATAAAAATGAATACTCCTATCATAAACATACAACCAAATACTTCCATGGTTCAAGAATGATACATCTGCACAGAAGACCAAATCAGGACTCTATACAAGGCCTTTTTTTTTAAAAGTGTTCTGACTTAAATGGAAAATATTTCATTTTCAATCTAATTTTTACTAAAATAGTTGGAATATTACTGTTTCAGAGGGGTTAGGGAAAAACAGATAAGGGATATGCTTTACTTCAAAAGTAAATTTCTGCTTAAGAGAGTGCAGTGGCTTTCTTCAAACCCACAAAAACAAAACATCAGAAACAATATGGTGCGATTGGTCTTTTATTTATCGAACAAATATTTATTTGGCACTACTATATGCCTGGCACCGATTTAAGACAACGTTTTCAACTTTTCTAGAACCCAAGCTAAGATTTGCTTAAATCTACATGTCTATTGTATCTTTTATTTCCATCTGGATAGTCCATAAAAAACATCAGATTTTTTAAAAACTAAAGTTAAATAACATAACTTTAAGAGAAGTACTTTTGAGTTATTCTAGTAATCAGTATCAACAACTCCAAGCTCCACTTTCAATGTTTTACAAAGCACTCTGTACGTTACACCAATCACTAGTTTTAAATATATCCTATTATGATTTGAAGCCTGGTAATCAGGCAGATTCATATTACAAAACAGCACATAAAATCCCACAGAACAAAAAAAATGAACTATTCTCAAATCAAATATGCATTTGCTGGAGCCAATCTGAGATTTAACCGGGATTAGATATTCCAAATTGCAACACTGACAGAGCAGAATGTCATGAAATAAACATTTCTCCTGATCCCGAAGTCTCTCCTTTCTTCATGCAAATTTACCAAAAGGAATAAAACAATAACAATCATAATCTAAAACCCAAGCCCTTTGTAACTAGAATTTTCACGTATTTGAGCGTCTATGATAACCGCTCAAAGATGTATTTTAAAATGCTCATTTAATTTAGAGAGATGCTGGTAAAGTGTAACACAAACAAGAAACACATAAACGGTTCAAAAAGCCCTCCATATGCAAAAGCATCAAAGGGCGGGAATTTCCTTAGTTCAAATTTTGGTTACATATTATTAGTATGTCACAAATTGCCCTCCAGGGAGCGCTCTGAGACACGGTTGCTGGTCATTTCAGTTAATAAAGCGGGAAAGCGCTCGAACGTAACCTACAGCCGTTTACAGCGGACCCTCTTCAGGGCTTTTAAGAAGGGATCTTAAGTCCCAGTCGTAATACCCACTCCCGGCGGCCGGTGGCCCCGGAACACCGAGCCGTTCGCGCGCGCCCGTCACCCTAGCGAAACCCGAGAACAAACGCTAACTTCACGCCTCCCGACACGCTGCCGCCAAGACGCGCACACCGCGGCCCCAACTTCGGGGCTCTCCTCTCCCGTGCCCTCCCGTCCCAGAGCCTGCGGCGAAGAGGCCGACTCCAGATTCCGCAGACCCAGAGACCAGCCTCCTGGCCGCGCGAGCGGACAGCCCCGCCGCCGAGGAGGCCCGAGGGGGCGCCAAGGAGGAAGGGCTGCCAGCGCGCGG